TGTGAGTGAGTAAATAATGACAGAAATTTTATTTTTTGGGTGAACTATCCCTTTAAAGGGGGCATAACACACACAGTTTCACCCAATCTCATGTTAATCTTGAGTACCTATAGAGTAGTACTGCATCCTTCATATCTCCAAAAAGTCTTTAGTTTTATCATATTTATAAAAGAAAGATACAGCTTTACGATTCTCTCCGGAAAAAGCCGAGCTCCTGGAAGTGCGCCATGGGCGGAGCTAAAGAGTGACAAGCACTTGGGCGCCGAATGCCAACAAAACAGACATTTGATGCCGTTTCACTTACCGTCTGCAGTTCTGAATTATGACCGGGATCTTTAATAGCTGGGACAGCTCCATCTTAAGGAGTTCCACCCTTGTTTACGTCATTAAGAGCCACAATCGAAAAAAACTTTCCGAATCTTGTATGAACCGGAAGTACGATTTTTGGCACATAAATACTCCGTCATACGTCCAAATTGTTTTTTGAAACTTTGTCCATGCTTAGCATGAGAATCCAACTCTTTAACAGTGTAAACAACTCTGAATGCATGAAACAGCATTGTACCCCCCTTTAATGACAGTTGGCAGCATGTTTAGTAGCTACTGTCCCTTTAAGAGCTGCACGGTTTCTCTCTCAACTGTTTACTTTCATTTTAAACATAACCAACTGTATATGTAAACCTTGTGTGTTTTTGACAGTATTAGACGCGAAATCAATCAGATGCGAAAGACAACTTAGTCCAATAATCAGGCGCTTTTTGACAGGCTCTCAGTGTGAGAGCGCTTCATGAGTAGGCGCTCAGAAAAAGCGCATGCAGAACAGCACGTGAATTAAATGTTTAACCGGTATTGCTTTAAAGCAGATGGAAATAATGTAGTTATGTGATTGCGCATAAGTGCAGTGTCCGGTCAGAGTAACTCTACCGCTGAGCCACCACTGATGTGAATGCATGTGGCGTTGTACAGTATATTGAGACGGAGTGAGGCGCCAGAAATGCAGCTGATAGAATGTGCGCTGTAGCACAATACAACGATATTTCTTCAAAAGCAGATCGTGGAGACATTTTAATCATCCACGATCAAAAATCGTCATATCACACACCCCTAAATCAATCAAGTATAATCAATCTCACACACACAAACAAGCACAACGAAATCACGTCACACTATTAAGCTGCTGTGTTATGAACATGCAAAACTGTATCGCACGCGTGCTACAGAGGTAAATTTATTCATCGCACAGACCAGTTTTTTCGTAGCACGTGCAGACATATAGCCTATGTACAGCCCTGCTCACTGCTCTTTACTGAATTACTTTGTAGTTTTAACAATAATTAATCTGTATTTAATTTACAGTGGGTACGGAAAGTATTCAGACCCCCTTACATTTTTCACTTTTTGTTATATTGCAGCCATTTGCTAAAATCATTTAAGTTAATTTTTTTTCCTCATTAATGTACACACAGCACCCCATATTTTTCCGTACCCACTGTATATAATTAATTATTAAATTTATTCAATTTAATTTATACAGTGAAGACTATGAAATTTTACATTTGATTATTCAGTTTCTGTATCTGGAGTCAGACCTACAAACTTGAAAAAACTTTAAACGTTGTTATTTATTCGTGCTATTTACACAATTTCAAACAGGCCCCACAGGTACAACCAGCACCAGGGCCCTGCAAATTCAGCTATGGCCCTGGATGGATATGCTTTATTTTGCTTCAAAATCTTTATCACCATTCACCGCCATTATAATGCTTAGAAGAGCTAGGACATTTTTTATATATATCTCCGATTGTATTTGTCTGAAAGAAGAAATTCATATACATCTAGGATGGCTTGCTTGAGGGTGAGTAAATTATTAAGTAATTTTCATTTTTTGGTTAACTATTCCTTTATCAGCCGAGTGCCATTGTAAAAGCAATTGTAAAAATCTTGTTCATTAATTGCTAAATAAATGGTAAATATAGGTTTTTTTTTTCTGGTAGTCTATTTTTTCTTTCACTTATTTTCCTCAATACATTTTCAACACAAAAAATATATATAAATGTAACTAAGTAGGCTACTCTGACGAGAGAATCTGCACAGACAGTAATGGCAAAGCGAATGGGCGCGCCTGCACCACACCGTTTCATTGGTGCGCGCCCACACAAATCCATATACACAGAGCACAGACGCACACACGCGCTCACAAGGTATGAGGTAATTTTTTTGGTCACGTGACTCCTGCAGTAGCTGTCAAAAGTGATACAGCAGCGCATCCTTGACCAGCCTGCTTCCAACTGATTGGACTGCGATCAGGTGTTAGGGATCATCTAGAAAGGTTAGAAACGAAAAAATGACTCTTACTTGTGATACCAACATGTTATGAACTCATGTAGAAGAATACTAGCTGCTAGCTAATGAAAAGTGTACCGGGCAAATTATAGTCAAGTCCAGGTTTCATCAAAGAATTGCTGTCATATGAATCCATTGTTAAAATATAATGCAGCAAAACAGCTGTAATGTTAAGGCGGTTAATAACAGTTTATATCATGTTTAATCTAAAACCCAATCATTTAAGCCTTGAATGAGTTTGTATCATAAAGGACACAGACATTTGAAGATAGTGGATGACAGTGAGTGATGGGCCTCATTTCTGATAATCAGTATTAAGAAGTGAATCTCTACAAACACTTTATTACTGCAAATGTATTATTTTAGCCCGTATATGTTTGGAAAATAGCAATAAAGCATAATTTTCTGAAATATTTTCTTAAGTGCTTTTATTTTCCCGCTCTTTAATGGTTAATTAGTCTTTGTCTGACTCCCTCGGATCCACACATACTGACTGGTATTTGCTTAACGGTTGGTTGATTCAGACACTAAACAACGATAACCAATCTTTATACTTGATCCCTTGATCTAGAGTTATTACCCCTCCTATGTCGCAAGTCCATCCGTGTTGGGCTCAAGAGTCAGAGGAGGTGATACTGGGGTTGGAAAGTAGGGAAAGTGGGACACCGGTGAGGGCGTGTGGTGTTGAGCATGCGGCTTTATGGTTGATGTCTTGGCAACGCGAAGTTTGTCGCTTGCTCCCATCTCATCAGAAGCGGCACGCTCTCGGCGTGTGCCAGTATTAAGAGGGGAAAACCTCAGTCAATGCCAAATTTGGGAAGCGGGGTGAAGGAAATGGCATTTCAGCTGTTTTTGCAGCCCAAGCGCGGCACTGCTGCTGGTGGTGACGCCTAAATGGAGCTTTAATAACGCGGGATATATCTCTAGCAGCAGAAGATGGTGAATTCAAGTGTTTTATTATCGTCATGGCAAACGGAACCGGCAGCATCATGTTGAAATGCGTGGTCGTCGGCGACGGCGCCGTTGGAAAAACTTGTCTGCTGATGAGCTATGCCAACGACGCCTTTCCAGAGGAATATGTGCCCACTGTCTTTGATCATTATGCAGGTAAATATGGCATTATATTACTCCGACATAATGAATATGAATCAATATTTTAGTGTCCGTTTGATGGATAAATGTATTTAACATTCATTTAGCGGTTTTCACAAGACCTCAAAGTGACTTGCATTGTATTGCGCTTGTGTTTCTATAATGGAAACCACCTGTGGGCTGAGGATGCAACTGGTGCACATCAGCATCCTTGTGGCACGATTCATCTCCCTTTCACTTGATCAGAAATAAACAAAACTAATTTGCTTTCCTCTTTCGTTTGATCAGAAGTAAATAAAATCTGATTGAGAACCTTGGTCAGAAATAAACAATTTTGTATCCCTCTTTCACAGAAGTAAATAAAACTAAATTGAGTAGCCCACCTCTTTCACCTAGACTGCATCCCTCTTTCACTTGATCAGAGTTACATACTAATTGACATTATTATTTCACCTTTTCAGAAATAACTAAAACATAACCAACAGCTTTCTTAATCTAAATGCTAGCGCATTTAATCATGTAGGATAATTTCAGTCCCTTATTTAAACTAATAATTTGTGATTTTGTTTTCAGTGAGTGTGACGGTTGGGGGAAAACAGTACCTGCTGGGGCTGTATGACACTGCGGGTCAGGTAGGGTTAAACCATTCCTCTCTCATTGGCCTGAGGCCTTTTCATTAGCAATAGTAACTCGATCGATTCAGGTAAAGTACACGGTGGCCTGTTCAGATGAGTCTTTTTGGCATTATATGCATGTGATTTAAAGAGATAGTTCATCCAGAAAGGTAATTTGACATCATTTACTTCACTTCATGTCATTCCAAACCTGTATGACTTTCTTCTGTGGAATGCAAAATCTGAAGTTGGCAGGGTGATAGTATGATTTGTATTAAAAAAAGATGCTATGAAAAGCTGTCTGTCCCCAAATTCTGTTTAACTTCTTTAACGTTCCACAGAATGAAGAAAGTCATATGAGTCACAAAGTCTTGTAAGTCAACATGAGTGTGAGTGGTAGATTACAGATTTTTCTCATTAATCACTAAGCCACTGCCAAACTCAACAGGTGAGTACACACTAGCGTCTCTCAGAGGAAAGCTAAACATGTGAAGCAGTTGGAATGCAACAGCAATCTGAAAATGTTCCTTCCTCTGTTTTAACCATGTTGTTGAAATTGATCATGAAAGAAGATCTTAAGTTGCCATACATCCCTTGAACACTTCTTCCCAGAGATAGTCTAGTCTTGAAGAATAAGTATCTGGAGGTTTAACATTATGAATGGGAAGTTTAAAACTTGTGACCTGAAAGGCAAAAGCTGTGTCTGAAATCTCTCTGAATTGGTACTTCTTTGATGTATCTGGATGCACTAATCTGGATGTACTAGATTTGTCATGTCTTGTTGTGACCTACTGCGTCAGTTGTGTTGCTTCACTGCTATTCACAAATCCTCTCCCATGACATTATTGGATAGTAAAGTCCATTAGATGTGTGTTTCAGAATATTTCCAGAAGTAGTAGGTCACCTTTTATGAATAATTTAAGTTTGAACACACTACTTTTTTCACATACTGTTTTTTACCTAGTAGGGAAGTATGCATATTCTGATGCAGCCAATGTCTAGACTTTGAGTATGTGTTGTATGTCAGGCTGTCTCTTAAGGTTGTTCTCACAACACCAAACTATGTGTTGGTACATGTATGAATCTACCAAACGAGTAGCTGTAAATGTAGACTGAACTCTGAGCTTGATGCCTTCTCGCCCAAGGCCAATAATTCAAAAGTGGTATTGGGTGGAACTGTTAAAAAAATCGGAAAGCTGAATATCTGTCAGCACTCATAGTCTTTGATCTCTGATGATTTATTTATTCTATGGATTTAATGTCTAGTGAAACTTTCTTTGCCCTTTTGTTTGAACAGTTGAAGATGGCTGAGTGCAATTAACATTCCACGCAGTTCCAATAAAGACAAGTGCGTACGTTTAATTCAGATATGATATAGAAAGCTGTATCCTCATATTTTAAGTGCTGTTTGAATGATGATCATGAAACACAAAAAAATGATTGCCAGGACTTCAGGACATACCAAATCCATGAAATCCACTTTGAAGTTCTTAGTTCTTAAACATAGTAGTGCATCTGACACGGTTGGCTTTTTACATTGAGCGTCATCCTTTAAAAAGACAAAGAATGCTAGTAGTGGGCCAGATGTGTGGAAGTATAACTGAGGGCCAAGAAGTGGGATTAAGTTTCGAGGCAGTTCAAACACACAAAACACTCCCCACGTTCACCCTTTTCTCTACAGCTGGCACCAGTTAGTACCGTACAGAAACCGTGACCGATCACTTGATCAAGAAGATTCATTTAGCTGAAGAACTGGAAAGAGAGTTAAATTCAAAGCTGATGTTCAGTGTGGTATAGTACAGACTTAAAGCAGTTCACCCCAAAAAAAAAAATTTTTTTTAGAAACCTGGATGACTGACTTTCTTCTGTGAAACAAAAAAAAGTTTATTAGTTATTGTTTATAGTGCAATGGCCAAGCAGATTTTCTCTCTCCAATGAAAGTGAATGGTGACCATCGCTGTTAAGCAGGATTTTTAGTGAATAAAAACTTTAGTCCCTCACACAAAGCTATCAAATGGACACTCTGGATGTAGTGCAGAGTAGTGTGGAGTCATATGGACCACTTTTATGATGATTTATAGCGCTGTTATGGTCATTTTTGGAGCTTGAGCAGCCCCTGGTCCCTATTCATTTTGATGCTGAAGAAATTATGACAGAAGTTTCATTTTTGGGTGCCTATTCCTTATAAGGCACTTGGAAAGCGTTTGGTCTCGTTCTGTATCGCGTATCTTGCCAGTGTCTGCGCTTGCTTGGCCATATGTTGCGGAGAAAATAAGGAAAGTGTGTTCAAGCGCCAGCAGAAAACAGTGTAAAGAAATAGTCTTTGAGAGAAGCAGTCTTTATCAGCGGAAGTTAAAAGCAGCTCGTAAGTGTATTTACTTTTCTCATTAGTGTTTAGTGCAGTTGTCGTTACTAGGAAATGCTTGTTTTGTTTACTGTGTGGAGACGTGCTGATATCGCGTTTGGTCTCATTCTGTATCGCGTATCTTGTCAGTGTCTGCGCTTGCTTGGCCATTTGTTGCGGAGAAAATAAGGAAAATGTGTCCAGCTGAATTAATTTAGTATTTTGTTAGACGGGTATAGAAAAGCTTAGTTTACCGCGGCAGTGGTCGCAGCAGCCGTCGTGTGAAGACCGAAGAGTGTAAAGACCATCGACTCTACCGTGCGACTCCACCGTGCAGAGACACAGACAACATTATTATACTCTTATACCTTTTGTTCTTTAATATTTAGAATTGTTTTTAGCTTTATTTTTTGTTTTTCATTTATATGTTAAGTTTTGAAATTTTGTTGTATGCATTTGTCATTTTTATCGAATCTCTTTATTTTTAAAATGTGTATAGGTAGTATTTATAAAGTTTTAGCTTTTAGTTTTGGATCTGTTTTTAGTTGTTTTAATACTACAATTGATTGCTTCTGTTGTCCTCATTTGTAAGTCGCTTTGGATAAAAGCGTCTAATAAATGACTAAATAAAGCAAAGGAGATTGTGAACCATGCAGTTTCAAGGTTTAAGCATTAAGAGATTGTTGAAAGAACCCAGATAGGAAAAGCATGTCTTGGGCTGGAAATAACCCCCAAATGCTGGTTAGCAGCTTCTAGGAAGAATCTGGAAAGAGTATAAGGCTTTTTTTTTGATCATGGTGTTTTTTTTTCTGTACATACTCTGGGTCAATTAAAGTACACACAAAAGCAAGATACATGAAGTAAGATCAGAATCACCTCCACATTACATTGTGTTTACCAGAATCGGATACATAAATCTGCAGTCCGTAACTTTTGGCTCTCTAGCGGTTAATAAACAGAACTGCGTGCATCTTGCAGAAGAACATTGTAGCCAGAGCTACTTCTCTCTGTTTATGTCTATGACGAATCACACAGGTACTGGGCTACTCCGCAGCGGTTCCACCAGTACCAGTCCAAATATAAAAACTTATTATAGGTGTACTGTAGTGATTCAGGATAAGCCAAAAACATGGTTTGGAAAATGGATTCATGATGTACTCGCTTATTATATTAATTTTGTAAATTTTGAACACAAAGTTACGGACTGCAGCTTTCAGGTCAGGAATCGGATACTTGTAAAATTAAAATTTCAATTCCGCCTATCAATTCCTGTGTGCGCTTCTTTTTTTTTTTAGGTGACGAAAAGGGGCTGTTAAAAATGTATTTGTCTTTGAATCATTCACTCAAGAGATTCATTCAAAAACACTGATTCATCCAGTAATGAAACAAGTAAATCTTGAGTGAGTCATTGAATCATTCCATTCATAAATTCCATGAGATTTTGTTTAGTTGTCTAATATTTTTTCTTTGGAATTGTAAGAGAACTACAGCCTCCATTTACAAAAAAAAGTCTCAATTTATCCAGAATTGTGCAGCTCTATTTTGCTCACAGCTCTTAATTGAGTCAAGTTTTTATGTAGCCTGCTGATTTTTGTTCATGGTGTTCAGCAGCAATTAATGTTTTTGCAAAAAGAGACACAGAATAAATAGGTTTGATATCTAAATGTTTGACTTCATTTTATTAACCACATTGGAATCGAAACTGGATACCCATTGGATACCCAACCCTATTACCAGGGGACTAAAACTGTAATTTAAGGGCAGTGGGACCTCTTGAAAATAGTTTCTAAGTTTGTGTTTCAGTTGTCAAACATTTTAGTTCTTTGAAAAAGTGTTTGATAGAAATAAAATGCCTTCAGACCAGTGTTTGAAAGACCAGATAATTTTGAAGACCAAACTAATCAACTATTTGCACTTTTAGACCTCTCACATCTATAATAAATTTTTTTCCAGCCGTAATATTGTGGGTTTGACTGCAATATTCCAATTTATATATTCCATGTACATTCCCTTCTGTGTTGACTAGATAAAGAACCTCATCAGAATTCCCTTTGTATGGCAAAGGGTGACTTGCCCTTCTCAGACATGTGTGTTAATGAGTGTGTGCTCCATAGCCATGTGATTTCAAACCTCACTGGAAGAAGAGAAAGGAGCGACAGTTTTCTGGCACACTTTGTGCAGTAAATAAAGAGTATCAATATTGGAAAAATAGGCAGGTGTTCGTTCTATTTTAGTATGTTAAAAATAGTTTCAAGCCTGTGGTTGCTAAGAAGGAGGCTCATAAGCAGATCCATGACTGTTGGATTCCTTCACTGGCTGTACGTCTGATTGGTCCTGACATGCTAATTGCCTCAGGAGGAGTCGGAGAGTAAGCTGGCTAGTGTCAGTAAAGGGGCAACCTCTCAGATGTTGGCATCTGTCTCACAGCTCCATCGAAACCATCTAATCCTGACCTTTCATCCTCTACTCTCAGTCCTTCAACTTTTTCTTTCTTCACTGAGGTGATGTTTTATCATGGCTTTGAGTTGACAGGCTCTTAATGAGCCTCAGAGATGGAACTGGTCCCCAGATGTGAAGTACAGCTGCTGTTTGCATTTATTTTTCAATCCAGGAAACCCTCCCACCCTGGAGTACCCTACTGCTTTTTGCCCCTTCTGGGGCTCAGGCTATACCT